CATAGGGAGCTCCACCGAAGGCCCCAGGCGTTGGCATGGCGGCACCGCACCCGTTTCGGCACACCCCTCACACGTTTCGTGGCCCTGTTGCCTTCCGAGGCCTCCTGGCGCCTCTTGTGGTCTCCTGGGGCCTCCTGGGGCTTCCCGAAGCCTCCTGAGCTTCCTGGGGCCTCCTGGAGCCTCTTGGGGCATCCTGTGGCCTCTTGGGTCTTTCTGTGGCCTCTTGATGCCTCCTGGGACCTCATGTGGTCTCCTGGGGCCTCCTGGAGCCTGTTGGAGCCTCCTGTGGCATCCTGAGGAGAATCTGTGCCCACGAGTCTGGCCACCAAAACAAGCAAGCCGATCGAGACATCCCCAAAATCTGGCCCAACTGGGGGGTGAACATGAGCGCCTCGCTCGAGACATCCTCCAAATTTGTTCCGAAAGCGAAGGATGCTGGGACAAAACAAGCAAACTGTTTGAGACATCCCCACAAAACGGATGCGAATGGGACCGTGAATACCCCTCGGCGGCTCCCCTTAGAGGGGTGAAAATGAGCGCCTCGCTCGAGACATGCTCCAAATCTGCTCCGAAAGCGAAGGATGTTGGGACAGGTTACAACCAAACTGTTTGAGACATCCCCACAAAATGGCCGCGAACCGGACCATCCTCCAAATCTGCCCCGAAAGCGAAGGATGCTGGGACAGAAATCAGGCAAACCGCTTGAGACATCCCCACAAAATGGCCGCGAACCGGACCGTGCAACACCCCTCGGCGGCTCCCCTAGGGGTGCTGAAACCAGCGCCCCGCCTGAGACATCCTCACAATATACTGTGTGTTGAGTAAGTCAGACAATGAGACGGTCTGAGTATGAGTAAGTTTGGGTATGAGTGAGTCTCAGCATGAGTAAGTCTGAGTATGAGTAGGTCTGAGTATGAGTAGGTCTGAGTATGAGTAAATTAATACGATCAGATATTAGTATGAGTAAGTCTGAGTATGAGTAAGTCGGTGTATGAGTAAGCCTAGGTATGAGGAGGAGGAGGAGGAGGATGAGAAGAATCAGGAGGCGTCCAAGTAATGATAAGTATTCACTGCGTGGAGCTCCCCATATGTGCATTTATTCGCATGGACCTGTCCGCCGTGAATGTCTAGGCGCAAGAGCTTTCGAATATATACGGGCTTCAGTTGTGACGGTCTGGACATAAATCTAATTGCGAATGAGTTGGAGTGTGAATGAGCCTCAGTAGTACGAGCGCGTCTCTGTGCATGAGCCTGGGGCCTCCTGGGGCCTCCTGAAACCTACTGGGGCTTCCTGGGGTCTCCAGGAGCCTCTTGGGGCCTCCTGGGACCTCCTAGGGTGGATTCGTGCCCCAGAAGAGGCGCAAGATATAGCAACTGACGTACATAAAACATTGCGGATTAGAGCCACAGGAGAAGGGCAATCTATAGGAACACGCGTAAAACACCAAGGACTCGTGCCCCAGGAGAGGCCCAATATATAGGAACATGAGTAGAACATGTAGGATTGTGTACACAGGAGAAGGACAATATATAAATAAATATATATATATATATAGAAACATACGTATAACATCAAAGAATCGTGCTCCTGGTGAGGCCCAATCGATAGGAGCATACGTAAAACACATGGGATTGGAGCCACTCATGTTGCCTTCTGAGGCCTCCTGCTCCTGGGGCCTCTCGGGGCCTCCTGTTGCCTTCCGAGGCCTCCTGGCGCTTCCTGTTGCCTCCTGGGGCCTCCTGTGGTTTCCTGAGGCCTTCTGGAGCTTCCTGGGGCCTCCTGGAGCCTCTTGGGACATCCTGTGGCCTCTTGAGTCTTTCTGTGGCCTCCTGATGCCTCCTGGGACCTCATGTGGTCTCCTGGGGCCTCCTGGAGCCTGTTGGAGCCTCCTGTGGCATCCTGAGAAGAATCTGCGCCCACGAGCCTGGCCACCAAAACAAGCAAACCGATCGAGACATCCTCAAAATCTGCTCCGAAAGCGAAGGATGTTGGCACAGAAAACAGGCAAACCGCTCGAGACATCCCCACAACATCCTGCGAAAGGTGCCGAGTGAAACACCCCCCCGCCGCTCCCCTTAGGAACGTAAAAATGAGCGCCTCGCTCGAGACATCCTCCAAATCTGCTCCGAAACCGACGGATGCTGGGACAGAAAACAGGCAAACCGCTCGAGACATCCCCACAAAATCCTGTGTAATGGGCCGAGTGAAACACCCCCCCGCCGCTCCCCTTAGGAGTGCTGAAGCCACAGAATCGCCTGAGACATCCTCAACATCAGTGTGCGTGAGTCACCCGATGAGTGGACCTGAGTGAGTGTAGTGAATGTATGAGTACAAGTACGAGTGAGTCTGAGTGATGAGTGAGTCTGAGTGATGAGTGAGTCTGAGTGATGAGTGATGAGTCTGAGTCATGACTGAGTCCGAGTGATGAGTGAGTCTGAGTGATGAGTGAGTCTGAGTGATGAGTGGGTATGAGTGATGAGTGAGTCTGAGTGATGAGTG